TAAATTGTATATATTATATTCTTCAGGCTATATATATTATTCTTAAGATCTACATATTTTTCTCTTAAAGTTATTTATTCTTAAGATTTCATGTTTTTTTCTCTCTTCTTCTTTTTCTTCTTCTTCTTCTTCTTCTTCTTCTGAGAGAGAGAGAGAGAGAGAGAGAGAGAGAGAGAAATATGTAATAGATCTAATTACAATAATATGTAAAATTTTATAAAGGATATATACATTTTGTATGGGAAAAATAACTTTAATCAAATGATTCAATTTATTTTCAGCTACGATGAAATCATATAGCAATTTATCACCTATTCCAGTTATCAGTTAATAATAGATAAATTGAAATAAATTATAGGATCGATATAGATATGTATATCTGAGAAAAAATGTTTCATATATTATCATATATTATCATATATAATTACATATATTAATTTATAAAAAAGGGCCAAAATTAAGTGTTGCTAACTAAATTATATTTAACATTCAAAAAAACACACAAACAGTTTCGATCCGTCATAGTCATTCTCAATGTAAAACAAAAATTACATGAAATCGTTAAATTATTTACATCCGCTTATTACAATTTGATGTCAATAATTTAACGATAACGCCTAAATAGCAACGCTTACAAAGCGTTAACAAAGGGCGTTAAAAAAGTACATATAATTTCTTTTTTGCACTTTGCAAGCGCTGCTGTGTTATCGAAACTGTTTATGTTTTTTTTAATATTAAATATAATTTAGTTAGCAACAAACACTTAATTTTAGCTCGTAGCTTTTTTATTAATTAATTTTTAACTTCAGTTATTTGAGTCTTTTATAATTTCTTATTTTAATTACATATATAATTACATATATAATTATATGAGTAAGTTTTTTAACCTGAGACTGCAAAAAGTCGCATTAGCATTATGCAAGATGCTTAACCGACGACTTAAACCTCTTGAATGTTCACAGTCATGTTCTGAATAACATTTGTCGAGATCAAGGTGAAATTAAATTGGAAGTTGTACCTCTCATTTTCATTTTTGCAAAATTTTTTAAAAATTTATTAATAACGGAAATCTTACTTATTTCCTTATGACTCTCCAATAATAAAAATCTTGAGAAAACGGATAAATGAGAATATAACGTAGTTGTTAGAGCGTGATCAGAAAATAAATATGTTAAACAGTGCAGATTTTGATAGCGTGTATTTCCATAAAGACATACATTTTTCTCAGGATTTTTAAAAATTTATTTTTATGTAAAAATAAAAAGAGAAACAACCTCCAATGATTTTAATTGACAAATGTTATTTTATAACATTTTAACAAATGTTATAGGATACGACTCTGAACAATATTCAAAAGATTTTATCAGTCAGACACCTTGCGTAATGCGCCGGCAGTATTGTAACTTTCAAGCCTTATAATTTAACAAGTAATTAACGAAAAGATACTTAATTATAATATTTTGGAAAACTCTCGAGATGATCTACAAGAATGTGTAATAAAAAGTAGGGGTTCCCATTTAAGATTTCAAAGTTACCCGCAGCCCCACCCCCAGAGGGACAACACGTGGCTAACTTTTACAGAATAAAATTGCTCGCTCAAAAAATATTGAGGATTTATTTGGAAATTTTTTCGTACAATGCTTATTTTTCAGATATTTTGCAATCTCAGGTTAAAAAACTATCCGGTATATATTGGGTTATTCGAAAAGTTCGTACCGATTGAAGAAAAATTGAAACGCAGATTTAAATTTTAGTATACATTTATTAAATTATATAGGTCGGCATGAACTTTCCGGACAACCCAATAATATATCCATATATGTATATGACATTTTTTTCTCAGATATATATATA